TTCACCGAACCCTTTAACAATGCTATCAACAGCGTACTCCTCTGCGTCTCCCGGAGTACACAACCCTCTTTAATATGAAGAATGAAATGAAGAACCACTGTTAGCAAATACAGCTCGATTATTCGATCAATATTAACTATTCAGTACTCGACATTTCGTAGCAGTTAACTGTGACTTGCATATGCACATGTCTGCAGTAAATCAAAAGTACGCCGCATGAGCCGCACTTCATGTTCGTACTCACCACGCCCCGATGGCAAAGCGATAACACACACAGCGATCAATTTACATCGCCCGCATATGCGTAGAGCATAAGACCTGGTTTCAATTGAACTTGAATGGACCTTCAAGTTAAAAGAGTGTAAAGGATACACGATATACCCTGCTGGCAGCACTGGTGCTAACTAAAAGCGCACCTACGCGTTTGCCGATATTCCATCGCTTCTTGAGATACCTGCGAGAGCTTGGCTCATCAGTGTGCCCCCAGCGTTCCCTGAGTGCTTTCTGATAGGTACTCTAGTCTAGCAATAGTTGATTTTAAGTTCATCAGAAATTGACTGCTAACATGGAGTAACTTCTACTTTTGGAAGGTTTACCGGCGTAATGTGTAGGTACATATGGTGTATATTATAACAATTTTATATATGCTAATGCCTGCCTGTTTACAAATGAATGAGTATTACATGGTTCTGCCGTTGTAGGGGATAGAAGTCGGGCCAAACAGTCCTATTGAATTTGAGTCTACGTATGTAAAACTTTAAATAGATGACTTCCTCCGAGTTAGCGATTAATTTCTGAGGAAATTAAAAAGACCGACTTGAAGCCCACCTATGTAATCGCAAATACAAACTACAGAGCGATTGAAGTCTGCTACTCTTTCCAAGGACGACTGACATTATTCCGTAATTGGGCAATCCTCAAGGTTAAAACGATAACCGCAAAAGCGTTTTGATAGTCTGTGGTAAAGGAACTAATAGTTGGACCCCAGCCGAATATAGCTCACTCTTTTCCCTCCACCATGTTTAAGCGTTTTGTTTAAACCAGCCAAGCTAAAGGTTATATTAATTGCAATTATTATTGGCCACAACACTGCCGTATCAAGCATGCTGTACTTGGTTGGTCTCTCACAAAATGCCATTAGTAAGTGACCAATGAATTAAACCGCACCGTAGCGGAGGACCGGGGTAACTCGTTGCTCTCTTTTCCCTCGGCAACCTGTTTAAGTCTGTCAACAAGCTGACGGTAAAATTCGGCTGGTGTCGGGAGTAAAGCCTCCATTTAGCACGTGCCCATTCTATGTACGATAATAGTGCAGGACTCCGCGTAACCCGACTAACGCATTTCGTTAACCCGCCCTATCTCCGTTTGTGTGTAATACAACATAATGCTGTCCCTTCGGCGGTCAGTACTCCGGTTCCCGTACTGAAGAACACGTGTTTCTCATACACTGAGAATAGTGTTTATTTATATACACATTCCGTATCGGTTGAAGTTATGAAACCTATTAACAGGAGGAGATACGTATGACCAACGTGCGTCGGACGAACACTCCCAGTCGTATCGGGATGAAAAGCATCCCGTATAGATACTGATTCGTAGATGTTGTCACCGGTTACTTCCTTTTTATTTTCGGGCCTGGAGCTAACTGATTTATGGCGTCGAATGTATCCTGGTGGATTTGATGAGATACTTTCAAACCAATTTTTGGAAGCTTGGCATCCAGACGAAGCAGAAGGCCTTCCAGCAGCTGACGCGCAGCAAGATCACCGATTTCGTTGCCAAATATGTTAACATCCATCAGCGTCTTGGAGTAGGCAATGATTCTGCGATAGAGGAAAAATGAACGCGTTTGTAGGATAACTCGCTCATTCGGCTGAATGAGCAACTAGTTTTAAACGGTAGTGAACTCATTGCATTTTTAAATAGAATTTCCCTGACGGTTAATGCTTGTAATTTTCCTAAGTAGTGAGGTATTTCTTGTGCTTTTAGTTCTCTAGGGAATAAAAGGACAGTGTTTTCTTATTTCAGACTCAAACTGCTATTCTACTGTTATTATTAACTAAAAACATACAGGGATTACAATTTAAATCCATAGAACGCAAATTGTGTATTATTAACGGGTAGCGACTTCAGACATTACGTAAAATAGGAAATAGATATCGTTGTAAGATAATCACTTTGGAAAGACAAAAAGCCCAACCAGATAAAATGTGTCATGCAAGTGAATTGAATCGTCGCCAGTGATCTCATTTTTACAGCCACTTCGCAAACCAACAAGCAAGGTTTGCTGCACTACGGCGGACCCTATCTGCTATTACTCTCTGACTATGTCTCTGATGACGAATTCGCGACGGATATCGAGACGTCAGGTGAATAAAAGTATTGTCCCAGCGATCGAGTTGTCTTCTTCTCAAACTGTAATGAATCGGTAACTAGCCACTAGCTATCTTTATTCATTAGTTGATTAACTGTAAAATTGTGTCATTGAATTATAGAATTACTGAGCATCGAATTAAAGGTTTTTGAAGCGTTAACTCTAACCCTAAAATTACCCTTTATCCTGAAACGAACTACAACCCTGATGCTAACCCTTTTCCTAAAACCAACCCTAAGTCCAGCTTCCTCCATTTATAATTAAGCCCACCGTTTACTCCAACTCTAACTGAACGAAATCTAACCCAAACAGCAGCCGTAAAACATTATGAACGGCGAATGGCCTTACGCAGCCCGCCTATGTGTCTAGCTCCTCTGTGCGAATTCTAAATGGTTCTGGGTCCAACGCCATAAGCCGAACACGAACACAAACAGTAACCTGAGGAGGGCTGAGTTGCCTCTACCAGCAGTATTACATGC